TATGAAGGGACTTTCTTTTACTCATTTACGACATAGAAGTGTGTGTCGCTAGAGGGCGCGATTTGAAAAGAAGGTGTATTGATTGAAGAACGGAAACTGCTCGACTCGTCTCACGAACTAAGCGTGAACCACAGCCTCTGTATAGAGGGACTATACGTGAACACGTCAGGAAAATTCTATCCTCGGGGGCGGACATCCGGGCATTTTCACCGCCTGGCAACCCGCGGCGGTGAAAACAAAGGCCCAAAACTCGCAGAAAACCGTACTTCGGGATAACTGTTGAGACTCCTCTGAACAGTGTAACAAGATTAGCCCTACGTGTGTAACATATATAAATTTGGTTGTTCAGGATTACTTCAAAGTTGAATTTGTGTTGTTTTCTCGAATTTTCACCGGCTCGACCGGCGTTCCACAGCAGCGCGCATAGAGCCCATAGAAATGCATGTACAGTGGTGCGCGTCTTAGCAATGTGGAACGTCTTGTGACGTAGCTCCGCCCCCGAGGATACGATCTTAACTGGCTACCAGTACTGACTCGAACTGATTTCAAGATTATATACACTAACATAAATCAATAAATGGGTTTTCACTAATTTGGTCAACCGACGAGATTCTCCTCTAGTTATGCCACGCTCCTCAAATACATTTTTCCTGCAGGTACCAACGTGCTTTATTCAGTAAACGTGCCTTTAGGCATACTCAGTACTGCTTCTTTTCTGTATAACACGTTGCCGTTATCATTGCACCAATAATCCAAACTTAAAATACTCTACACTAATTTAAAAAAACAGAATATTCTCGCAGTGATATTTTAGTAAGTTTAGTTAAATTAAACACATAAACTGAGACAAATTCTCTAAAATGTCATGTAGCCATGTCAACGCGTTTATAATTGACAGTATACTGATGATCTCAGTGAGTATATAACCGTCAATTAATTAGGATGTTCCCTTTGTAGTACTATATATGTGAAATTTGATGTGTATCTGTGATGGAGACAGAAGGCCGAAAACAGACAAATGATTCTTGCATGAATGGTTGGCCAGCAATAGATAGAATATCACAGCAACATATTAATCCGAGCTTCTGTTGGTAGTGCTGTTATTACGTTTAGTTGTAAGAGTACGGTGTATGCTGGTGTCCTCGCCATATTTGCTTCTTCAATTATATATGAATAGTTTAGCATTAATCGTGACATTATATATATTTTTTAGATCGAATAATATGAAGGCATTGATATTGCCACGCTGAGGTATGAATGGTGAGATTGTCCGAACGATGGCACGAAAAAAATACAGGCACGGTTTAATGCAAATGGTTCCTCCAATATGTTGACGTTACAAACAGCTGTCAGCATAGGGTATTGTCCTTATTAGTAAATGTTATATATCGTACTTATTACACTCCTATTACCCAATATGGAAAAAGCTGTGCTTCGGTCAGAGGTTAAGATTGATATCTCATAGAATGCATTCACGAGGGTTATTTTAACATCTATTTAATAGTGCATTGGATGTGTATTTACTTATATTTCAGATAACTAATAAATTATTATTAGTGGTCTGAGCTTAATATATGAACAATTGTAACTGTGTATATACAGTGTATTCGTTTTACTGTTAGTATGATAATACCTACTATATATGTAATAGTAATAGTATTCATGTATTATTTATTGATACTGATATCGTATGGCAATGCAATAAAGAAAGTTGCAACTCACACAATGTATGAAAAATGTAAATGCAGCTGCTACTATCTTAAAACTATCTTTCCTCGTAATAAAACAGTTATAGATGTCTAAATATAATTTCCTTATTTTGCGTTTTTAATATGTTTAATTTTTTACAATTTTGTTTAGTTGAAATTATATCAATGGAAGAAAGGCGGACAGTGAACAAGCATGTCGAAGTAACTAAAACTATTCATTGTTAGTTGAAAGCTACGCGTGTCTGTACGCTGTATCGCCAGGAAAACACGTCCATACTCGTCCTCACATTCACATCACCGACGTTGGTCAACTTGAAACTTGCAAAGTTTAAGGTTTGGTCTCGTACCATGAAACTTACAATCCGGTTAAATTTAAAATACAAAACGCACTACAAGAATTATCCAAAAATTGTATACTTTGCTCATGGAATGTAACAGCTAACGGAAACTGTGACATATTAATTTGAACGTTGACATTCAAAAGACAGTCAAATCAAATGTGTCGCCAATTTGTGCAAAATTAAAAAAAAATATTAAAATAATGAACATAGAGAATTGAATAAATATTTTTATTTAATAACGATATTCAGGCGCGCGGTATATCGTGTTCATTTTTAAAATCGGGATACTCGTTGGATCGCTTATTATGATTATATCCATACAATACAATACACACAATTGTCATGTGTGCACAGGGAATCCATTGACAGTGATATATCCATGACGAACATTCATACATGCATACGTTATTTAATTTGAAATATCAGTACATAGAGTACCATATGTATTACCTTGTGGTAAATTTCAATATCACATGTTCTCGTGATACATACGTATTTCCATAGGCTTTATGCTTAATCTGCAAAACGTCACACATACTTGCTCGCGATGCAAATTTTCTATGAATGAGAGTTTCTCAATTCTCGAAATGCGAGCAGTTGTCATTGAAGTTCAAAAACTGGAAAACTTGTCAAAACATTACTTATAATATTGAAAATTATTGATTAACAGTTCCCCTAGACACTACCAGCTGTATCAGAACGTGCACACGACCTATATATCTGGCGTATTCCATCACGTGATGTGAATAATAATAATAGTGAACACGTGACACAAAAAAGGTTTGACACAGCTGAGTGTGACAGCTTTAAACAAAATGAGCACACTCTATTCATTACCCATATGGGGACAATGTTGCGACATGCCCCTTCATCCCTGACTTTCCTTCTCAGATCAACTTTCAGACATTGAAACCCCAAGGTCCCATCGTCGCATAAGCTACAGAATCAGTGATACCCATAGTCACATGCCTTGTTGCGTATCTCTAAAGTATTCTCGATTTTGCTAGTTGAGTATGAATATTGTGCCGAAATTATCGCTACTGGGATACAACGTAGCCTGACGTGTAGGTAGGAGTGAGCCCTCGCCGGCCGAACGGCATCAGACCTGGAGCACCGCGGATGGCGCTACTTACGCGACCTCGTCAGGCTAGGATACAACGCCGCCAGTCATAAAAAGACGCAAGGAAAGAGAACCATTAATATTAACCATACAACTCAACAATGTAATTATTCTGTAGACATGCGCAGACACCATTCTTATTTCCTAGTGAAGGAGCACGTCTGTGACGTCAAACATGACGGAAATGGGTGAAAGCAATGTCTTCGTGTTTGCTGGTGTTACCCAGAAAATAGTAAAACCTCTCAAAAATATTTATTTTGATGAAATACAGATCAATAAAATATCGACCCCTGTCACCATTTACGTCATAGAAGCATTTCGTCGCCGGAGGGCGCGAGTCGTTTAGATAAGTATGTATTGTGGGTGTGCAGTACGAGTTTGTGACAATGTACTCAAAGGAGTGACGACGTCGTAGAATAAATGTCTCCGATGTATAAGCATTTGCGCAGACTTGATTACAAACTACAACTTTCTCCACTGGTATTAAACATCCTTTTCTGTCGTTTTCATTGCCAATACTATTAAGCTGAGTTATGGAAGGGAACATGTAATTTTAATATCGCTGTTTGATTATGCATTTAGATGATAGTTGAATTTTCACGAATTAAAAACTTGTTGTACAATGACTACCACTGTCCATGCTAAACAAAACATAATGATCGATGTGTGTGCTGCAAAAACAACATTTATATGACATAAATCATAGTCCTATTTGCTTCATCAACATGAAGTACTAAACAACAATATTTGAAAAAAAAATACAATTTTAAATTATTGCTCATTTTAGACATTTTTTTCATAAAAATCACAATAAAACAACTGAAATACAATTGCATCTTATATACAATTATACATATCAAAAATAATTACTTCCAAATATTTTCAGATTTATTGGGGCAATTATGTCGCTTTAACCAATGGCCGTAAGGTCTATGCTATACAAACCAAATGTTTGTCATGTTGGTATCCATAACACATTCAAGATAATGCCAGGGGAATCAA